ATTATTGCTTCGCAATTGTGTGATGCAATAATTAATCTTGATCATGATTCTTTAGAATGCAGTAAAATGAAGGATAGATAGATACCTTCTCTATAATACCTTTGTGTGAGGTTAACAGCTTTTTTTATAAGTTTCTTTGCTCTGTTATGGAGATTTCATGTTCTAATGTTATGTTTGATCTATCCTCTCTTATCTTGCTCGGTTTTGTGGAGATACTGTAGATTTGTCAGTAAAATCTATGTCAGTAAAATTTTTAATTCGTTCAAGTATACTCGGTGAAATATGTCTTTTCATACGTTGTATGACAGCTTTCAATTATATGTTGTGTCATTTTGTCATGTTTTCTGCAGATCCTATACTCAGTTATTGTTTATACGATTATTTAGGGAGTGGGAGTTGATAAAACTATACTTCTGAGGGAAATAGAATAATTTTTGAGAGTTGGTATTAGACACTTGTTTGCCCGTCGAATTGTATTCTTGCATTTGGTTTTCTTCCTTGTTTGTGGAGAAATGCCTTATGTTTGTTCCATCTAATCTGTTATGCTGTTAAACAACATTTTTTTGAAGTGTAGGGTTACCAAAAGAGTATTGGGTATTGTTGTTACTGCATTGTGGTCGGTCAGTCATCTCGTATAATGAATTATAAGGTTCTGAACAGCGTTATGTATAGTGTGGTATTTTCACATTGCAAGTGTGGTCGCTAATTGAACAAGATGAAGTATATAGTGTTCACTATGATCTTGTCAGGATATGATATTCATTAAGTCATTGGATGTAAGTTTTTGTTTCAAGTTTTGATCTTTTTATGGCTGGGAGTCCATCCTTCTAGTTTACGTCATTGCTCATGGTAATGGCTAGGCTTTTGTATTCAAATTTGTTGTATAGTTTGCTTTTCCACTAGGAATGTGTGGTTCCATTTTAATTGGTTTCAAACGTTAAGCAGAGTTGTCATGAAATGCATTTTGGAATTTGTTCTCCAAGAACAGGTTAGTAGTGTTCATCGCACTAGTTGGAAAAATGGCGTTCATCGGCGAAGTAATGTGAAGTTTCGGATTGGAAGATTGCATCTCTTGATTCCGTACGCGGTATTGATTAGTCACAGCATCCTGAATATTGGGAATGTGAATAGAATCATTCTTATTGGGATCTATACTGATATCAAAGTTTGCTTAAGTATGATTGAAATCAGAAGTAGATGGAATACTATTTTGTATTCGTAGAGGTCTGTTGTTTAACTGGTATTATGGTCTCGAATATTTTTAGATCTTAAAAAAGAATTGACTTCACCAATTATGGCAAACATTAAAGGGAGTGTTCAAGTGGCAATAGTTTGTGAAAGTAACATACAGTTTAGTCTGAAATTCCTTCACTGTACAGGCTTCATGTTGTCATCAACCTCTGGTTATCAATCTTGTCTAATTGGCAAAAACGCTGCATTTTTTTACAGTTATAAATATCCGGTGCTCACGTTTATTGAGCTCGGAAAAATTTGCATGAAACGAACGAAAATTTTTGCATATTATCGCATAATCGCCTTAAATTTGGTATTTGGCATTTTTTTCTGTATAAATTTCTGTAATAAACGGAAGGATAAGACTTTTCTGACACAGTGGTGCTCATATTATTTAATTCATTTCTTATTAAGTTCACTTGCTTGACAAGTTTTCACATCTATATATAGAGTTTAATGCTTCAAGTGTATATAAATTCCATTCTACGTTATCACTGTTCCAGAAATGTTGATTGAAATTGAGGAAACTGCGTGTTTCTTAGCTTCATTCTTGTACGGAACAATTCCACGTCGGTAAGAACCATTTCATCTTAAAATTTTGAATTTTAAAGCAATAGCGAAGTCGGTGGAAATTCTTCAGTTTCAGTGGAAAGTAAACTTAATAGGTCAACTACAAATAATACTGTGATGTAAAATTCTTTTTATTTTTCCAAGTATAGAAATTTAACTGTGCACAGATTTTAGAGTATGGAATTGAGATTATTAAATTTTGATAACTTTCCGATAAAATACATAACTTGATAATAATTTGATATTTTCTAAGACGCATTGATACATTCGCTGCTATTTTGGCTAATCAGTTGCTGGAACATCTATTAGATGACGCACAAGCACCAAAAGTGTTCCATTTAGTTGTTAATGTTGCAGGAAAAAGTGATCCTTTAATTCAGAACGTTAGTGCTCGATTTATCTCAAATTCTAACCTGGTTTGATGTAGTCCCTCGAAAATAATTTAGTAGAGAGCAGTTTGCATAAGTTACTGAATGTGTCATATTTTTGTAAAATTATTTTTTATTGAAGGCAGCTGAAGAGGCTTATATGGACTTGACGGAAATACAGTCACTTATCCCTAATAATTTGGTTATTGAAATACGGCAAGGTTCAGTAAATGCAGTTAATGCAGATACTGGTCAAACGAAATCAATTTATCCTAAAACGAAGCCGTTGTTCATTAAACATCAAGATATGTTATGGCTTACAGAAGGCAAAGCTACTTTTCAGAATAACCAAAATACAAAAAAAATAAGCGAAAGTGTTACTTTGCACAATTTAAATTGCAATTTTTACAAACAGGACGGCGTTTCCATAGTCGTTGCTTGGATAGTTCTTCACTACCAAGAACTCGCTGTAATCCAGAAAAGAGACGGCGACCCTTACTGCGTATCGAATATGACTATCATTATATAGATGATGATAACAAACCAGCAAGTTATCTAAACATCTTATTGTTATCTTGTTTTTTCTGAAAAATGTGTAAAAGTAGTATAATAAGTACTTTTCTCATGGCCTTTCAATTTAGTACGGTCGTCCGTATTTTGATCTGCAGCGAGATGACACGGTCTATACTGCTCAAACCTTTGCGGCAACACGCTTTGGGTCAACCAAACTTAAAAGTCATCAGGTAATTCTTTCAAGATTTTATTTTGCGGTCACTATTCTTTTAGAATTACAGTTCAAATCGTACAGTATTGTCTATGTTTAATAATAGCTTTTCTACTTTATGATGAGCTGTTTATTGGTAAACAGAAATAATGTTTCTCATTGTAATTCTCATAGTTTGAATATATTCAAATCTTCGTCCCACTTCATTTGCCTCATTCTGAAAACCTGTAAATTAATATGAAGTGACTATAGAACATATATAAAATTAAAAAATTGCAGGGAGTGGATGCTGGAAACGGTTATCATCCGTATACTACACCTTCACTTTACGCATACCTTCAGTTGCTGATTTTTCTTAATGCTCTAGCATGTCTAACAGTTTGGTCCGAGAAACTAGAACAAGAATTAGATAGCTTAACAGAAGTTAGTTTCAGGATATATCATTATGCTTCAAAATAGAATAGTCAAGCTTTTGGATAAATTCTAAAATCACATCAGATTTCTCAAATATCATTCTTATTAATAGAAAGTTATTCAGAATGCAAATGAGAAGAGAAAGAACGTCTTGAATAGATCTTTCGAAAAAGAAATAAGAAATATTCATGGTTAGTAGGCTTTTTATCATTTATCTTTCAGTTGCCGTTGGATAGAAAAATGCTAGGAATACACCTAAAGACACCTTTCCTTTCTTAAACGATATTTTATGTTACTAATGAATAATTTCTCACTGAGTTCTCTTTCAAGAAAATGTAGCCATATAATTTTTGTGCAACAAGAATACCAATTATAATAAACTTATCAATAGTAATGTGCATAACTGTGTATGTCACAAAAATTACAGGTAATATAGAGAAAAACAACCGAAGAGGAAAAGAGGATATTGCTGCTTAATAGATATTTCTATAACTGATAGAAAAATAGCTCATGTTCCCAAAAACTTTTGTTAACTTATTCAAAACAAATCATGATATGATAATATGTAGCAACTTGCCAACTGCCTTTGTTTCCGGAGAAAACTTTTAATTGTTACTGTTTTAAGAATATTGTGACAATAATTTGCATGTTTTGTTTCTACTTTAAATTACATTTTTATTTTTTGAGAAATTCTGCTGCTAGTTATGATTATAATGATGATAAAAAACTCTGTTGTAAAAAGTTTTGCTATCACCACATTTAAATCTTGTCTCAAGGAAATGTTTTGAATACAGTCGTGGTAGGGAACTATTAACTAACAGTCGTGAAGTCAGAAACGCAGAGCGTGAAGTTTTTTTAAGTGATATCTGACAATATCGGTACGGAGATCAGTATGAATAATTTGGGATTGTGAGTAGTATTTTGAAAATCAGGAAAGAGATGGTAAACGAAAGAAGACGCATTGCTTGGAACAAATTTCTCCAGAGCAAAAGTTCCATCTTCTCTTCTTTTACTGTAACCTTTCAGAATCTGTTTAACTTTTAGCCTTTCTCACCGTCTTCTTTGAGTGCACCACTTTTTATGATTGCTCTCTCTTATCCAGTTTTCTAAGCTAGTTTTGAACTAATTAAGCATAAATGAAATGTATTTTGCTTACATTTGCTACTGACATCCAAATTTCTCAAACCAATCAAATTTTACCAGCCATGAACAACAGGTTATGAAAAACAACAGTAAATTTAATCAAAATACAAATTATCAAAAATTTAATGCTCATGAGCGAAAACATTTGTTTGACAAATATAATGGCAACTTAAAGTAATTTACTGATTTTAACGATAAAGCAGTCAATTGCCTATAAGATGTAAATTTCTTTATGCAAAAATGATTTATCCATACAAACATTGAAAACTGACCAATCTAATTTTTTATTCGCCAAGTTACATAAATAAGGTGGACAGTGTGATGATCTACTGATAATTCCTTTCTACTATCATTTGCGTAACCAGTATTGAACATAGGATGTGTATGCATTTGGTACTGTTTTACTTTATGCCAATTAGTATCGCGCTCTCTCGAAAGCATATTCAGAATTATTTTCGAAGTTTCAGACTGAAAGCAAGCAAGAAAGTCTTTGTGTTTCTTTAAGGAAAGTAGCGTAGTTCATTGACTGAGAACATTTTCGAAAATTCATATTAATTGAAACTTTTGTAACACAAATTTAAATATGATTTATTTGATTGCAGTAATTGTATTGTCTAAATTTTACACCCATGCTAGCGTTGTAAGTAATGCTTTTTGTTTTTGAAATGCTGATTACGCTAATGTTTTCATATTTAAGAGCAATTTCATGAAATTACTTATATCACTACTTCGTGACTTCTTCTGCTTTATTGTTCCCTGCCCTGCCTAACAACTGTATCTTCAGAATATCCGTAATACTTTCAAGCGTATCATTCATTGCACGAAAAAATATCATTTCCTTTAATTGTCATCTGAAGAATGCTTTTTAGAGAAAAACGATAATTCTAAAGATGAAAAGGCTTGCAATACTTTGTGCATTTCTTCTTGCTTACATCAAAGTATGACATTTCAGTACAATTATATAATTAGAAAGCTTCATGAGATTTTACTTTTTTGCAAAAGATTAGTTTTTGTAGCATTTTATCTTCTATTCTTCAATTCTTTTTTTTCTGCGTTAAAAAAACTTGCAATGACTTTGCTGGTTTTCTAGCCTATGGAAATAAGAGAAGTACCGCCAAAACGTTATCAATATACTCCAGCATCTGAAGAAAGCTCTGAAATGATGGATGACTTGGAAGGTTTGTGAATCTTCTGTAATTTTCTAATTTTCTTTTTTAGTAAATGGCGCCAAAGTATACATTTAAGTTTATAAATCACATTTTATCAAAGAAATCAGTGTTTCCAATAAAATTTGCCGAAGACTCAAGCATAGTTCAGAAATAAAGAAAAAAATTAAAACTATCATTTTTTAATAAATGTACTTTATGATATTTCAAGCTTATTTTGCTTTAAAGTCTTCTGTAGTTATTACCACACTTTTTTAATTTGTTCTTGTTTCTTAAAAACTTAACTTGATATTCGCAGTTACAGATGTGGATGATGAGCATTCGTATAAATTACTTGATCTTGACAAATTACCTTACGGCATTTTGGTATATTTTGCTGTCTATTCAATTTATCTGAAAATTTTTGCCTTTTTCTAAGAAAAAGTTGAAGTACATTATTTTTGAGTAATAAGATTAAGAGTTTAAGAGGGAATCCTTCTTTTTAAAATACAATAGCATATTCTGTAAATGTTGACAGCAAAAATTAGCAAGAAAGTTTGATGCTTCGTTTTAAACCATTGTTTGCTACTAAAATATATTAATTTTTTGTATTCTGTTAATCAAATGATAGATGCTGATCGAAATAAGTTGGAAATAAATTGTTTCAATCGAAAAGATTATAAAACTCGAATGACAAATACGTCTCGATGCATAGATGAAATAGTTTGGAGGAACACGCAGTACAAGTCAAAATTATGACAGAAGTATTAATGATTATTTTTAGGATAGTAAAAAAAGTGAATTTTCTAACGATGACTTTAACAATAAGGGTGACGGCATATCTGATTCAAGCAAAAAAACTGCTGATAACCATGATGAGGTTAACATGATTATATTTTCTTTATATTCTAAAATTTGCAACTTTTTTATGCATTATTTCTGGTTTGGTATATTTTTTACCAACTGATGAAATTCGTATTGTAAATTAGACATCCACTAAACTATATTTTTTAAACCACTCACTTGGTACGTGATTTATCAAGTTGACATAAAATCAGGAAGAAAGTGACGAAAATGACGACGTGGAATCTGAATACGATAGTGCAGATGGCATTATCATTGGAAACAAGTATCTTATGTAAGTTTATTTTTGATTTACATACTTGATGTTCTTTTTTCTGTTTCAACGAGTGCAAGGCGTTGTTTAATGTGCATTCTGAGATAAAATTTCACTAACTGTATAAATTTCTATTTTTTTTAGAGTTTGGCTTCCCGTATGCATTTCATTATGGAAAACATTATTTGGTTTTTATAACTGAGCAAAAGCTTCCTGTGCATTAGAAGATACTGAAGATTGATGCTTTCACTCGTTTTAAGTTTTTGTTGTAAGTTTGATTGATAAAAAGTTAGGGTATTATTTTATTACACCAATCATTACATTTTATCAACATGTTAATTAGCAAAAAATAAATAATGCGTTTCGCAAAGTAATGAAAAAAGATTAGCAAATATTAAAAGAATCTGAAAGAGTTCATAAGAAAAGACTAAGCAACTTTTTGAACTGTGAGAGATAAACTTCGAAAAACCATTTCCATGTTTACAAGAACAACCTTCAATCATATATATACATTAAAATAAAGGGTTGTAAGCAATGAAACCACAAATATTATACGAAACTGGTAATTGCTTCTTTAAACTGTACGTGCATAGAGATATATGCGAAGCAATGGTAATGTGACTAGACAAGAGCAAATATTAAGCGGCCAAATGATTAACTGAGCGATAAGTTATCAGAAACTAATGTTTTTGAGAGAAATGAAAGCAAGAAAAGGTGAAAGTCTTGCCCGATAATTTCTATTCAAACACTAGCAAGTCATTCATATTTCTGAAGAATGCTAAAACAAAAATTAGAATAATCTTTTACGGTAATAAAATTAAGAAGTGTGAAAGTAATTCGGAGAGTGAAAAATAAAAGAGAGAAAACAAATTGAAGTAGGGTAAGTAGAATGTTAAATATAGTAATTTCTTATACTAAGGAGTATAAGAAATTGTCGCAAAAACAATGATCACAATTTCACGTAAATGTCACTGCCATTACAAAGATAAATTGCAGTTCTCTTTACACATTGCGCTCAGTGAAAAAAAAGCTTCGAAGAGTATCAAACTACTAATATAACTTGTAAAAAACTATAGATGCTGACTACAGTTGTATCTTAAAATTATATTTAGATAAGAGTTGTAACAAGCAGCCAGAAGAATGCATAGTTTTAACGTAATCAACATCTTTTCAAAGTAATCTTCATCATTGCAAGAATCAAAGTATGCCGTGATCAGCAATGATATTTTACCTTTCCGTTTGATCTCTTCCCATTTTTTTAGCTTGCTAATCAATAAACAAGAAAACATTTCCGCCTCAGATTCTGAACTAATTGATGTTAATACAGTGATAACGAAGTTGCGGCTCCATGATATCTTTTAGTATTATAGCGGCATTTTAACAGTATAAGCTTGAAATGCTGTTTTGTGAAACTGTTTTCCTGACTTGCAAACAATAAATAATAGTCATCATTATCTAGATTATATTTCATTCTGTAATAGACAGTATTAAAATAACTGGGAAGAGCATTCCTGACTTCTGCTTCCCCTTCCGAAAATGCAGAAAAATAGGGAGGAAAATGCAAAAATTTAAAAAAAAAAAGTGCATAAGATGATTCTGGCAATTATTGGAGAAAAGCTAAAAGTCTTAAATTCAAAAATGGTGCGAGAGTGAACTGCGACATTACATCCACATTACGTGATTTTGCACTTAAGTCAAGTCCGACGTTTCCACACTAATTGCCATAAGGCATCAAAGTAATAGATCTGTGTTCTCTTCAAAGTAAGAAAATTTCACTGGGAACAGATTTCACGGCTCCTTCTCTTCTCGACACATCGCATCGAAGATGCAACACCTACAATCGAAAAAGCTCTCAGAATCTATACGCACCAAATCCGAAATTAATAGCAGATTTTGTTGTTTGCTACAGATAGAATACTATTGAGGTGCATCAGAATGACTGGAAAAATCTCAATTTCTCAGTACTGAACACGAATTTACCACACGATACTACCGTTCATACAATACTGAACAAAAACTTATGGGAGTTCCGTAGTTTTGATGCTGCAACCCATTTGAAGACCATCAACAAAGTCTTCAGATTTTTTGCTATGCGAATCAAACCCATTATTAACTAAGAACATGTCATAAAAGACGTACTTTGTTCCAGAAGAAAGTATACATGCGGGAAGAAACGGTAATCTGAATGATGGAGATCGTTGCAGTCCCGAAAATACCAAAGGCAATAACAAACAAAATACTACCGCTTTATTTCACCATGCACATAACTGTTCGAGTACTTTCATTTTTCGATAAAAAAGTAGATATAACACAGGCAACATTGCAATTCGACGACAAAACAGAAGTGTCCGACAATAATTTTGGAACATATTGCATTTTCTATAGAAGTATAGATTTATCGACTTCTATCTTTTAGATTGTTGGATTAACAAGAACTGAATACAAAACATGCATGAAACATAGAAGAATGACAATATACAATCTAATTCTATTATACAAAATACGAAAAGGCATATTTCATCGAAATTATTTTGCCACAAAACTGATCGAAATGTGAGAAAATAGATCAAATATCATAACTGTCAATGACATTACATAGAACGAAGGAGCTTATAAAATATTTCACTGCCAACAATAATTTAATTTAAGCATGTTATACATGAAATACACATAACTGGTCATAAGCATTTAGTGTCTGTTGATTTAATTCTCACATCCTAGGCAGTTAACATCATCTCCAACAACTACTTCGAAGTCCGATGCAGCAGTAGAGTGGGTCAAATTTTCTACACTCTGCAAAATCATTACGAACATATACTTTATACAGCTGAAAACTACAAATGTGATAATAAATGAACAATCCACTTATCATCAGCACAAAAAATGCTTTTTTATAAAAAACGTTAACATTCTATTAGTCAGAAAAAAACAGCACAAAACAATTTTCTACTGTAATATTTCGGATTACTGCGGTAGAGATGAACTTTAAAAAATAAAAGATATACTTGGGTAACTTCTTCTTCAACCAAATCTTCAGCTGATGAAACATTTGAAAATGACTCGTCTTGCTGTAAGATACAGTCAATTCTTTAAAAATTTTTAAATATATGACATATTACCCATATATTTTGTATGAATGCTGAAAAAGCCTTTTCCTGAAAAGAAAACCTAAAGTTGGTCTGTTTAGTCATCAATTAAAAGACATTCATTAAAAAAAGAGAGGAAAGAAAGATTTATAATTTTAAACCTTTAATTCTGACACATACAATAACTAAAAACATACATTACTAAACGTAACTGGTTGCCCAACAAAGAGAGAATGTATCTGAAGACGTAAATATGGCCCTTCAGGAATAGGAATCATACTGCCTTCATCCAGAGTATAAAGCTGCCATATGGCACACGCTAATCCTATGCCAGTGGATCTTACCCAAACGGAAAATTGGACAGTTTGACTCTCTCCACATAATGTTACATTCAATTTCGAGCGAACTATTTCCAGTCTCTCGGTTGAGTACTCTTTAGCTACCTGAACAAGTACGTTTTCAATAATTGAGCATTAAAACTGCACGAAAAGAAGACAAAAATGTGTATGTTTATATCACTCACCATAACATTTACATATTTTGGTGAATCAGGACGATGAAGAATCCACTGCTTGAAAAATATCCCATCTTCTTCGCAACCAGTTGACAGATCTGACAAACCCTTAAAAAATTTTTAAAAACAGATTCTGCATTCGAATTACTCACGGTCGAAAATGCAAAATCTCAATTAGAATTTATTAGAAGTTTAACAATATCGATATGCCTATCACAAGTCACAGATGCACATCTAACTTGAGTAGTATTACCTTTCCGCTAAAGACGGAACTTTGTTCAACCAAACGAAAAGCTTTGGAGCAATTTCTACTGCCCAATTTCGATACTTCCTCAAGACAAGCTTTATTGCTCGCAGATGACGAAAAATTAGCTTTCACCGCGTCTATATGAAGAAATGTTAGAAGGAAGGACTGAGAAATATGAACATATTGAGTTACAAAAAAATTCATATTAAAGCCAAATCTTGCATGGAAAACAGTCTATTTCATTAAGAAGCTAGTTATCGCATTTGACAAATATAGAACACGAGGGATATTTCGTCAGCAATTATCTTGAATTAATTAAAATTATACAGTTCTCCGGATTCTTACTTTGCTCTGGTCGTACTTCTTGGCCCAATAAATCAAGTGGCTTCTGTTTTCTGGCTTCATCTACGAACTGCTCTAGCTTCACTAATCCTGGATGTTGCGTGATTACTTCATTCAGTCTTTCGCCAATACTCGCAACCACCTGTTACGTTTATCATTGTCAAATTTTAACGCTATTTGCAATTAGAAGTTAGCACTTCAATTTTCCATATACATCTATTCCAAACAGTAACGAGCAAGTATTGAAGTTTGGGGCAAAAAAAATGTTCATAAATTTCTGTAGTTTATGAAAATTAATCTAAAATACCACAAATTGACATGAATAAAATTGTCAAAATCAAAAAAATAAATGGAAATACCAAATTAGCTAAATCGTTCTTAACTTCACACAAAACATTCTCGTCCATTACAGAAGCAAACTGTGTCTGTAAAACACCTATCAAATACGTCTGGAGAGCAAAGATAAAGCATAACAAGGCTCCGATTGTTTTCTACACCGATGATTTAATTCTTGATAGTATTGTTCTCGATACTAAAAAAAATGACTAGCAAAGTTAACTCACGCCGACAGATGCTGCAGAGTATTCTGTCTTAGGCAATCCGTGTTTATACGTGCCGTCGACATGCATGATAAAAAGTTTCAAAGATGTTTGCATTATATCATCGACAGCAACCTTAACTACATATATCATAAAGACTGTACAGCAGAGGATGTTAAATCCAACCTAAACACTTCGTTCATTGAATTGAGTACCACACGCTGAATGCACAAAGCACAGAGAGCCTAACATCACCAAACAACACCGCATTTACATGAACTAATCACCTGCTAAGAACCGAGGTAACTTACTTCAAATGCTTCTTTATTTTCTAACACAACCATTTCGCCATCTGAATCACGATATTGAGGAGGGCCATTCATCTCGAAATTGTAATCCAAAAACTCTACTATAGCGTTCACAACGCAGTCCCGACTATCGCGCAGAAATGAAACCCAAATTGGTTGAGGTGAATGTAAGAAATCTGGTCTAAGTTGGTACTTTTCTACGACTAAATGCATATTTTTTATGCCTGGAAATTAATAAGTGTTCTCAAAGCAAAACTAATAATAATAAACCATGATGCCAAAACGCAAAACTCTCCATCACTACCAGAAATATCTTAAACGCGATTTAAAACAGGAGCGAAAATTCAGTTAGACTCAATGTGCAGTTGAATTCTTTGCATCTGAGAAACTGTTTTTCAGACAATGATCATTAATAATGACAGTAAATTCTAAAACTGGGACAACTTTGCCGAGAACATACGCAAGAATTAAAAACTGTCGAAACGTCCAAAGGTAGTGAAAACATATTTATTTTATCTAAAACACTTCCTACCGTAACAGTTCCGTGCAAAACTGCCGGAATTAATTACACATAAGCAATACAAACAAAACGTTCCAAAAAAGACAATAAAAGCAATAAACATTAAAAAATCAACACAAACCAACTGCTAGCAAAAAAGTCTCCATAATTCAAGTCAGACTTGGAAAAGTCAGTATTGAAAATTTTAAAAGGACGAGCACATTATCTATCGGTTGCTAACTCACCTTTTAAACACATCACATGCAAGCTTCTCTTCTTTTCACTATATACAAAACGTTTTTCAATTTACCTGAAATATATGGGCTTAGTATATGTCCGTTTTTTGCACGCAGGTAGAACCACAACTATTGCATTAGAAACGAAGCTTGAAACTGTATGACTACTGCGGACAGCTCCTCATCATCACTCTGCATGATCTCTTTTTAAAACAAAAAAGTATTATAAGAAAAAACTTGTGCGAAAAAAATCTTAAATCGACTGGGATATGACTAAACCTTTCTTTCCTAAACACTACACAATTCATCGCTTCTTTCCATTTCTTTATTTCTAGTTTAGCATTAACTAGATTTCACAAATGAAGTGCTGTCACCTCAACACTGTTAATTAACACTCATATTCAAAAGGACCAAATATTGATACCGAACACCTTTTCCAACATCAACCTCATGGCTGTATGCAGTAAAAAACAATACTTATGCAACAGCTGTGTAACACAGTTAAGACCAGAGTTGCATAGCGATATCCTGGGAACACTTTACGCTACACCAAATGCAAATTAACTTCCATAGATGAAGTGCTAACACTACGACAATGGGAATGACATTCGCCACTATAAATGTCTGGAAGACCATGAACTGTATGATAGTGTTTATACCAGGAGCACGTCTCCCATTTGAAGCGGAATTTGGAAAGGTAGTTTGCCCAACTGGAAGGTGACGGGCGCTGATAGAGTCTATAACTTCGTTAGGCGCACCTCTTTACATTCAGGTCTATACAAGATAACAAGGCGGATTGGTCCGGATGGAAAGAAACAAGAGGTTATGCAGAACACGACCTAGCAAATTGCCTGTGGTAGTAGGTAGAGATAGGGCAATAGTATTGAGACGGCATGTCCCATTGTAAGAAACGTACTAAATTCTCATCGTATTGGAAACGAAATCCTAATATAAAAATATGTATATTTCGAGAAAGTTCACCTGCTTCTCATCCACAATAGGGACTGAGACTGTTTTGTACCAGGACCGAATTCAAAGTTAAAACCAATAAACACTACACTGCAATTTATAGGGCTTGTTACTGCATTGTGCACTCTGAATTAAAATTAACCTACAAGATCACAATGTGTACAGAGCTCCTTAATTATCCGTGAAAGGATTGAAAATGGAAATCAGCTCCATATCTTGGTAAATAGAACATAAAAAAGTAACTAATGAATTAAAAACACCTTAAACAATACAAACGAATAAGGATAATTTTAAAAAATAAGTGGCGCATTCTGGACAACTTGGATTGTTGAAATAAGGCAGAAAATGAATATGAACTACATGAAGCATGGAACAATAACCCCTGAATAACGATGCATATAGAGGCCGTGTTTGACGAAGCATGAGTTTATTTGCAGTAATATATTTACGTTCACATAAACACATGAACATACATAAGTGATAAATAAAAAATAAGTTATAAATATCATAATACTGAACTTATGTGAATAAGCGAGATGAAATATCAGTACACAACCAGTCAATGGCTTCCATAAGGTTTTCGCCAGTCACTGCACTACAACCATATATACAGTAGTGATGCGATTTTATATTGTTCAGATTCAATACCTATAACGACAAAGGGCTTTCTGAATCCGTTCGTAACTTTAAATATGTTAAATAAGCGAATAATTTGATGCGTATAAAAAAATTATTGACAGTAACAACTATAAAAAATGAAAATGCAGAACTCTGATAACCTTTTCGTATACAGCCTTACTTACTACTGTTTTAAAAAAAAAAGTTACTGAAATGAAAAAGTATCGTTACTGAAAATGATATCACCTCCGCGATGTCTTCCGAACTAGCACTGGAAGGTAAATCTTGTTTGTTTGCAAGAACTAAAACTGATGCACCTGCAAGCCTTTCTTCTATCTGAAATTTAGTAAACATATCCATGAAACGATCTAAATGTTACTTTTCAAAAAATATTATCTAATATGATATTTCACATAACAAAGACAAATACTCAACTACACGTTAAAAAGTATCGGAGATCGTGGACTTGCTCACACTTGGACCAGTAAACCAAGCAGCGGGTGAATATGCTACATAGAATTCCGCCAAGTCAATGACTGATATTGCAAGGCAGCTCCAGGCAGTACAGCAATGTTATGAAGACATGACGAGGCGAAAAAAGAAGCCATCGGGGTGAAAAGCAAGCATAGAAAAGAGGATAAGCTTGTTGAATTTTCACAAAACGCTCATAGAACGGACTTTGGCCGATGAAAACTGAGAGGTAAAGACTTAAAAGAAACCAAAAAGTGTATAAGGGAGATGAATCCCATACTTGCTCTTAAGCGTGACTGTCATGAAGCGTTAAGTATAATGTCAGACCGAGTGAGAGTTTACAAAATTATGAATAAAAAGTTATAAGACCCGATGTGCATTCAAAATACAAAACTCTAGAGTGGAGCTGTTCAGAAGACGGTTTTATAGAAATCTGACCGAAGAACAGCCCGTGAGCCACAATGTGAGGACTGAGGAAATCAGCCTGATTCCAAAAGGTGTCCCAAGTAAAAGCAGCGACTTCAGGCCAATAACTTGTATTGTCGAACCTTTACAAGCTAACAGCGAAATGTGTGGCACACGTCATGCACTTAGATGTTGCAATGAGGAAACTGCTTGCAGGCAGTCACTTGGAAACTGTTACCCAGGTTCAAGGTGCGAAGAAACAAGCAATGTTGAACCTGGCGGCTTGCAAAGAGCACGGAAACCAGCTTTACATTACGTGGTATGACATAGAAAAGCATTCAATTCAGTTAATCATGTATACCTGATTAAGTGCATTGAAAGGCTTAACATGCCTTCATAGATCAG